TGGTTTAATTTTGGAAATAGTCCCACCAATGTAATTGCATCTTCTTAGAAGAGTTGTCAATCATCGTTTCAAGATACTCAAAACTGCATGGATAGAACCCAAATGCCCTCCACATTCAACTGAGCTCGTATCATGGGGGTCAATTCGATGAAAATGAATGTAGGATGCTTCTTAAAAATGTGGATGTGCTCCAGCAACTTGCTGATACAAACTCGGTTTCCAACATTCTTCACATAATTGAAGCATTCAAAAGTTTAATTTAGTTGTAAAAGCTTGCTTTGGATTTATCCTTCAGCTGGATTTTGCTTAAATAATTGAAAATTTCGAAAGGTGCTACTTAATGATAACTGGTGCAATCGTAACACCTAAAAGTCACTTTCTTCTACCACATCAAAGATTTCATCGGTGGCAAAAGATCTCCATTAGGGCCCTATAGTGAACATACTCTCAAAGTGAATAAAGTCTTGTCTCCATTAGGGCCCTATAGTGAACATACTCTCAAAGTGAATAAAATCTCCATTGAGGCCCTAGGATATTTTTCTAACTCTACACAGGCTTTGTGTTGAGTTGAAAAAATTACCTGGAGATAAATGTTAAGTTATATTTATGGGAAAAGAAGTAAAACAAAAGTGTGTAAATAAACTTTTTAAATTAATGGCTCTAAGTATTAAATAATCAAAAAAGACTTATAACATCTTTCTTTTTTTTAATGTCTATGTATATTCTTATAACATCTTTCATAATTTAAATATTTTTAGCTTTCAACACTATGTTTGATTTTATTTTGATTGCTGTATGCACATCCAATTTTTGACTGCACTTCCAGTATCTACGAAGGACAAGCTAAAAAGAAAAAAAAACTTTAATTGAATATTGATTTCTTTTGTTCAATAAAGAAATTTAAATGCTATAATTAGTTACCAACAACACTATCAACAAGGTCTTGACAAATTTTTGGTTAGTGAAGCTAATAGTGTAACTGAAGCTACTTATATAACTTTTCTTTCTCACCAATGATACCAAAAAATCATTTAAAAAATCTATTTGTACTAAGTAATTTGGAAAATGAAAATCTTTTTTTCTACAAGTAAAGAGTGCAAGAAGTTACTCCACTAGAACCATATGATTTGAATGGTGCTTTCCTCTAATATTAAAATTATTCTCTAATATTCTAATTTCCAACTAATTACTCATATATGTATATATATATATATTTTTTTTTATATATATATAGGTATATATATTTTTATATATATATAGGTATATATGTGTGTGTGTGTGTGTGTGTGTATATATATATATATATATATATATATATATATATATATATATATATATATATATATATATATATATATATATATATATATATATATATATATATATATATATATATATATATATACTAATGTTTATTGTTTATGTTTACCATATATGTTCTTCTACAGACTTTTGAATTTTTAATAAATTCTATATAAAAAATCTCTATAAATCTATAGGAATTCAATTTATTGAATTTCTATAAACCTTCTTTTCCAGAAATTTTATCTATAAAAATTCTATAGAATTTGATTAATTCTATACAAGTTTTATTGGAACAAAAAAGTTTTATAGAATTTTTATAGAACTTTTAGTTCTGGGTGATAGTTTAATGGCAAATCCTATTTAAGTGTATTAATTTTGTGAAAACATAACAAATAGCCTAGTTAGTAAACTTTATACAGTAAATAATTTATAATAAATCAAACGCTAAAATTTTTAAAGATCAGATGCTTAATCTACAAATTTATTTAATTAGCTTATTTGGAAACAGGTCATAAGTTAAAAGAAAAAAAAAACATTGCACATTATTAAATATGTCTAATAATAATAATGATGTATTTAAAAAAAAAACATTGCATGATATTAAATATGTCTAATAATAATAGCAATTTCTTTTTTTTTTACCCAGCCTAATACATCTAGGTTATGATGATAATACAGCTTAGGTTATGATGATAATACATCTTAGGTTATGATGATGAATTGTATTAATAAATTTATAATAACTATTAAAGCTTATTGGTAAGTTATTATTAAGACTGTCCCAGACAAAAATAAAGATTTAGTATTCTGACATTTAGTCGAAATATTAAATCTTTATTTTTCATAATTTTTTTATAGAGTATAGAGGATGTTTGAACTTTAAAAGTTTGATTTGCTTTTATAATATACATGCTGTCAACCATTTAATAATAAATAAATCAAGACTAAAAATACACTATTGAAATTTTCATGTCACACTTTATAATAAAGTAGCTTATACGTACACACTTTTTCTGGATAAACTTAAAAACACTTAAAACAGGCAGCACGTTTTTTATAAAAAAATTATGAAAACATGTTGTTCTGGGGTAGCAGAAACAGTACAAAAGTTCATCAAATGTTGATCCCTATCTCGCATGTATTGAAGATTCTAGCAACAGGCTATTTCAGTATGATGGTCAAGCCTTCCCAGGAAAGGCGTGCAGTTTTTCATCTTGTATATCCACCCATGAGTTTTCTAATTTAGACAACTTGGTCACGTCGTTTGCAAGTTTTATTATATGCGTTGATGAAAAAAGTTTTAAAAACAAACAAAGCAAAATAACAAAATAGGAAATTAAATTAAACTTAAATAAAAAATAATAATAACAATAATTTAAATAGTTGTGTACTTTTTTTATTTTTGTTTCTTCGTAGTGGTTATTATTTTCGGCAACAAAATTTGATAAGTCAAAGTTAAAAAAAAAAAAATTTTAAATTACAAAGAATAATTTTCCTCTATTTTATTTGTTTGTTTTTTTTAAAGAGAAAAGCGTAAATATAAATTTTCATCTGTTTGTAAAATATATTTGTATAATTTTAATGTAATGAGTATTTATCATGGGTTGAAAATTAAGCGATCACAATTTGCTCTGGAAAAATATCTGGTCTTCAAAATTTTAGTTTATGCAAAGCTGTGTACTTTGTTTTCAAGGAGCAAATTATTATAAGTTTGTTAGCGAGAAAGTTGTAAGAAACAAAACAAAACAATAAACTTAAAGACTACAAAAGTAATAACACTCTCACTAACTGTCACTAACTGCATTATAAATGTAATAAAACTATAAGTGTTATTATTTTTATAAAGCACTTATTACTTTTAAAGTTCATTCTTTGTTCAAACAACATTTGTAATTCCAAACATTATTTAAAGTAGAAAAGCATCTAGAAAAAATAAAGTGGATATTCAAATATTATTAAAAACTTCAGGAACTTTTACAAATCACTAAAACAATAAAAATTTAGCAATAATGAAAACGTTACTAATAGTCTGTAAAAATGTGTGTTAATTTTAAAATCAACCAATAAAAAATTTTTTTTGGTTGATTTTAAAATTAGCGTGCGTTTTTATGGACTATTGATGGAAGTTATTTGTTATGTTTTATAAAAATGTTACTTAAGTTTTGAATATTAATTGAATATCCACTCTATTTTTCTAGATGCTTTTCAATTTGAATTAAAATTTGGGATTACTTACATTGTTTGAATAAAGAATAAATAATAAAAATTATAAGTGCGTTATAAAAGTAATAACACTATTATAGTTTTATTACTTTTGTAATGCAGTTGATTACTAGAGTGTTATTACTTTTGCAGTCTTAAGTTTATTGTTTTATTTTTTATAACTTTTTCGTTAACAAATTTAAATTTCGTTTAGTGATTCGCCACTTGAAAACTAAGAACACAGTTTTGCTTAAAATTTTGGATAACAGATATTTTTCCAGATTTTGCATTTTGCAACTGCTTAATTAACCCTTGTTGTTACATTAATTATATTTTACAAACACATTGCAATTTATATTTTCGCTTTCCTCCTAAAAAAAAAAGTTAAATATAGGAAAATCATTATTTTTATTGTAGACTTGAAACTTTTTTTTTTTTTTGCTTTGCCTTATCTAATTTGTTGGTGAATGTACAAACCACTCTAATTTGTTGGTAAATATACAAACCACTCTAAAGAAATAAAAATAAAAGCAGTACACAATTTATTTAGATTATTAATAAGTGGTGCTCAAAAAAACTAAAAATAAAGTAAGTTTGAATTATTTATCAAAAAAATACCAACATGTATAATTGCCTCTTATAATTGCCTACGTTGTAGGCAATTATAAGAGGCAATTATACATGTAAAACTTGGGTGTTAATCTTTTTAGAGTTGTTATCACAATGCCATCACTAAGAAGGTTTTTAGTCATAATCACAAAGCAGATTTATGTTGGGTTTTTTATTTTTACATGATTATGCTTTTCGAAATTATGCTTAAATAAAGTTTAAATTTTTTTTTCTTTGTTAATGGTTTGACTCTTTTATAATAAAGATTTTTTTATAAAGAATAATTTTATCTTTAGAATTAAATTATTAAAGACTTTGATTAGACTTTGATAATTGCATCAATAATTGTTATATTACATTGGATAATTACTAAATTTATTAGACTTTACTTATAATAATAAAAAAGATTGGAGCTTTTTTATTTATTTTTTCATATTTTCCTAAATATTTATTGTATTCTCTACATAATGCATATAATTTTTTTATGCATGCAAAATAATAATTCAAAATAGTGCAAGATCTTTTTAACAATTTTCTTATTGAATTCACTGCAAGCTTGAAGTAATTTAAAAGTTTATATGTCATTAGCCATATAGATATTTTTTAAAATAAAGTTATTACAAGATTTTAGATTAATCATTTGGTTATGGATATTATGTTCAGAGATGTTATAAGATATTATTATATATGATATCTTCAGAGATATCATATAAAGTATATCTTCAGAGGTATCATATAAAGTATATCTTCAGAGATATCATATAAAGTATATCTTCAGAGATATCATATAAAGTATATCTTCAGAGATATCATTTTATTTTTTTGTTGTAAATCTTATGTTATTAATTTTATTTTTGTTGCTTACCTAATATTTTATTTTGCAGTTACATGCATCTTATCCAAATGATTCATTTAAAGAATGCCGTACATTGCAGCTTTACCAAACCACACAAATATTAAAACACATGACTCGTCCAAATGATGCTGTTATTTTTTGTGGTGATTTTAATCATACTCCTGATGAAATAGGAATAAAAGCACTCTCATTGTTAACCAACTTAAGTGATACTTATGATATTGCATCAAGCAAGGTATAACTCAAACAAGATTCCAAAAACTTATTATTTTGTTTTCGTTTTTTTCATTTTTTTTTAATTTTTTTAGATATCTTTGTGCCACACAATTAATCCTTTATCAAATAGTTACCTATCTAGTGAAGAAATACCATCTCGTATTGATTATACTTTTGTAAGCAAACATTTTCAATGTACTAGATGTGATCTTGCAATGCAAAAAATTCCAGGAAAATCTATTAATTTTTCTGATCACGAGGGGTATGCTACAACATTAATATTTGATCCTAGTAAGTTACTTTTAATAAATGTATAACCATATTTAGTATATATATATATATATATATATATATATATATATATATATATATATATATATATATATATATATATATATATATATATGTATATATATATATATGTATATGTGTATATATATATATATATATATATATCTACACATATATAAATATATATATATACACATATATATATACACATATATATATATATACACATATATATATATATATATATATATATATATATATATATATATATATATATATATATATATATATATATATATATATATATATATATATATATATATATAGCACTTGGAATTAATGTCAGTATTCCGCAATGCTGAACAAATAGTACTTGAAGTCAGCTAAAAATTGACATCTCATTTCTATGTTTTATGGTAAAACCATTGTCAAAGTCTTCAGTTAACCGTTTCCTTGTATTTTTACTATTTAATGTATTTTAACTAATTTAAAGTATATAAATATATGCCAGTATTTAATAAATAGTAAATGTAAGCATAAAATTATTATATATAATAGTTTTATGTTTATAGCCAGGGCTAGAATTTTTTTTTTCTAGCCCTAGCTATAAACCCCTGCTAAATCTTATAATTTTGCCAGGTTTGCAAAAAGTCTCATTTTCAGCCGAAGACGGGGATGAGGCAAGGGCGTCGGTCACTTACTATTGTATATATGGTTTCCATGTGAGGTCAGTTGTAAATTATAATCCAAGAAGAAATAAAGAAGAGGACTTAGTGAGAAGGTTGCCATTCATCAAATCGGAATGTCAAGAGTATTGCAATAGTTGTTTGCAATAAAGAACTTGTTTGCAATAAAGTGGAAACACAAAAAATGGACTTTTTTCTCCATAAGCTTGCTTTATATTGTCAGCCGAGAACCAAGAGGCTGTATCCTCTTGGTTCTCGACTAACGATATGAAGCAAGTATATGGAGAAGACCAGCATGCCAAACTTTGTCAAAAACTTCAGATATGTCAAGAGCAATAGTTCTAGTCTCATCGCCTCCATTAAATGCACAGTAAAATCTTTCAGTCACTGCATTTGGCAAATCAGCCGTGGAGCGAGAGGATCAATAACTGTATTAAATAACTTACTGAACCTCTGACAGTAAGTTATTTGACTTAAGATGAGATGCGAGAAATTTGTTGATCAAAGACTCAAAGACTTTGCTAATAATAGTAAGAAGACTCATCTGACAACAATTGGAGGGATTAGAATGTTATCCGAAATTTTTGAAAATTTGAATAACAGATGCCATTTTTAAAATACTAAAGATTAAGGTGAACGTAGGTTTTATAGTTGGAGTCACTAGTTAGTTACTGAGCTCACACTGCATCAGAGTGAGCTCAGTAAGTGTTTAAACACAACACAAACATACATCTAAATAACTAAGAGTGAATAAACATATTGCCAGAGGTTCCAACAAAACACAAACATACATATATAAAGTAAGTTAGGGTTGAGCCAACATCGCGCCAGAAGTTCAGACAGAACACAAACATACATATATAAAGTAGCTTACCGGTGAACCAACACCGTGCCAGAAGTGCAGACAGAAAACAAACATGCATAAAGTAACTTACAGTTGAATGAACACTGTGCCAGAGGTTCAGACAGAACACAAGCATGCAGATAGCAACTTACAGTTGAGTTAACACCGCACCAAAGGTTTAGACAGAACACAAACATATAACATTAGTGTGTTAGCTCACCTATAATTTACATATAAAGTAAATTATAGGTGAGCTAAGACACTAGCTAAAGCACCTCCAACTTTATAAAAGACATACACACACAAAAAAATATTAGTAAATGAAAAAAATTAAACTATAGGCATGACCAATATTAAATAGTAACGATGACAGGAAGTGCTGCAACATTGACTGAGGGTATGGGATGTGGTAGCAATCTTTTCTTTCATTATATATATATATATATATATATATATATATATATATATATATATATATATATATATATATATATATATATATATATATTAGGAATCCTATATTGGAAAAATATTCATTGAGCAGCTGTGCGCCACAGCTGCTCCATGAAATCATTCATGGAGCAGCTGTGGCGCAATGGTTATGTTCTGGCTCAGATCCCAGAGGTCTGAGGTTTGACGCCGGTTCTAGCCCTAAAAATAACATTGTTAAGCAAAGAGACATGAAGTTTCAAGGTAAATGCTCTTCTGCAGAGTGGGGTGTACCTTAATAACTATGAAAAAGAACAAGTAGAAAGACTAAATACAGTTAAATGAAAAATATTCTTAGTTGAATAAAACAATTATAATATATTATTGTTAAAACAATCTATTAAATACTTTTATTAAAACAATAATAAAATAAGAGCTTTAATTATTTATGAAAAATGATATTTACCACTAGTAAATAGAAAGTAATCTAAATAAGCGAAGCAAAAAAATAGATATAGAAATAGGTATAGTTTACAGGGTCAGATCCAGATCATCTAGTAAGGGAGCAATTTTTTAAATTTCACTTCAGAAATTTCACTTGTATTTGGTTGATCCAAACTAAAAGTGGGGGGGGGGGAGAGCAATTTTCAGGTTTTTTAGATTTTTTTTTTTGAATAATATGAATTTTTTAATGTCTTAATCTATGTAACTATGAAATTACGTTATATATTGATTTTCAATCAGTCTGATTTTTTTTTTTTTTTTTTGTACCTCACAAACATATGAAAATTCGTAATCACATTTAAACAGCCTTCCTATTTATATATAAGAAAATGTATAAGAAATTAAGTCTAGTAAAGATGGCTTGCATGTTATTGTTGATGTCAGATGCATTAAAGAACTCTTTGAAGAGATGCTGAGATTTATTTGATCAAATGGATGGCCAATTTTTGCCTTAAGCCAACAAATATTTTTCCAGTTATTAATAAACTTAAAGTTGTAGATTAAATCACCTCGATTATGTCTTTTATTTAGTGAGATGAGATAAAGATGTGATATTCTGACTTAGCTGGATAATACTCTAAAAAGTAAAATGTCTTTTGTGGCGCGACTGAACTTTTTCAAATTTTTTAATGTTGTGTGCAGAAGAGAATTCCATACAGGAGTAGCATACTTAAAATAAGGTCTGACCAGCAATGTGTAAAGTTTCTTCCAGACTTCTGCGTTTTTATAGATAAAAGCTTTCTTTACTTATCAAGGACAGAGTTAGCTTTTGATCATATTATTTCAACATGCATATCCCATTTGAGGTTGTGTGAAATGCAAATACCAAGATCTCTTTTGTTGTAAGAGGAATTGAGAAGTTGCATCCCTTGTGAAGTCAAGATATAGTATTGGTGGTTTGATTTTTGCTTTTGTTGAAGTGCAAGATAAGGTACTTTTTGTAGTTACGATGTAAGTGTCATTTTGTTGTCCAAGATGTGATTTAATTTATATTGTTTTAAGTTAAGTTTTGTTAAGTTCAATATGGCTTATTAGCTTTATGGCTTATTAGTGTGTCAGATATATAAATGCAGGCTACACCATGAGGTTTATTTTTTTGATCATGCCTGTAAGTAATATAATTTGTGAGGTTAGGTTTTCATTAAACCATTTTTATTTTATGAAGACAAAAGTAGTCTTGTCTAGGTTTTTTTGAAGTTTAAATAAGCCTTTGCAGCTCAGAAAGTTCCACAGAGTTTAACAAGGTTGCATTTGTATAAAAATAATTAAAATTGTTAATATGTTTTGTTGTGTTAATTTTATTATTAATAAACATTTTTATATTGTTTTTTAAATCTGTTTTAAGTTGTTTACAATCATGTTTCTTCCAAGAGTCAAGTTTTTTTTTTCCCAATATTTTTACTCTCAACAAGGCTGCAAGCAACCACTATTAGAGTTGAAAGCTAGAAGAAGAGAAAAGGTGAAGTTTATAGAGCAAGATAATAATTAACAGATGACTTGAAAGATTGAAAATTATATGAATCAGGAAAACAATAAAAAAAGAGCAAATTCCAGAGAACTGATGTTTGAGGAAAAAAAACTAGATGAATATGAAGTTTCCGAGCACTTAGAAACAGTCGCAGTAAAAGAATGAGACTTAATTGAATTATGAGTAACACGAGAATGAATTTTAGTAGATAGCACAAGAGACGCTAGCTTAGAGCAGTGACCATTGTATTTATAGATAAGAAGAGGAGAAACAATGTTATGATGTAATGTTTATAGGTTGGCTGCAAGAGCAGGTCCAACTATGTTTACAATGCATTTTTGCACCTTGTCTAAAAGAGACAGGGTTTCATTAGGAGATCCACCCCAGATATGGAAACAGTTAATTGTTTCTTAATGGCTAATGGGAAGACTAATGAGAGAGTACTTAGATGAATCAGATCGCTCTCCAGAATTTTTGAAAGTTGGAATAACAGATGCTGTTTTCCAGCAGGCTCTGATAAGCATTTGGTAAATAGTTTGAAAGTATAGGCGACAGCTCCAGTGAACACTTCTGCAAGACTATAACAGGTATGTTGTCTGGACTACAAGCTGTAAATTAATGTAAATTAAAAAGAGTATAGGGTGTCTAAGCAGGAAATTAATTTAAATGCAGACGCTGGAGTAATACGAATGTCAAGCAATTGATCAACCTGTTTGACAGCAATATCAGGTAGAATGCAACTAGTGAAATCAAGAAATGATATTGATGAGAAGTTCTTAGCAAACAATTCAGCTTTGTCTTTAGGTGAGGTGACAAAATCTGAACTATACAAGAGAGATGGAAAAACATATTTGGCCTTATAGACACTGTTAAAGATTCTCCAGAAGTCACGAGAGCCTAATTTTTGAGCTGAAATAAGATTTCTTTATCTGAGTAGTGGGCTTTGGTGTTAGACAAAATTTTTTTATGATTGTTTCTAGCAATAATAACCAGAAGTCTGTTTTCTAGAGAATTGTTTTGGTGATATGAAAGTAAAGGTTAATCAGAAAAAAACCATGTAGAAGAGTAA